TAAATTTCTTTGCATCATTACATTATATGTATCAAATGTTGTACGATTTAATCCATATCTTGTTTTAGGATACAATTAAACATAAATAATGCAGATAAATAATGCATATGAAGATGGAACTATGAAGCAAACAGTTATATTTTATATTTAATATATAACTATAATGATATATGACATAAAAAATACTTCGTTTTTTAAGAAAATTCCAAAATTCTATATAAATATTATAAATATTGTAGTATAAAAATTTTGTATAAAATGTATAAATTTAAATAATAATGTATAAATAATGTAAATATAAATGTTGGAAATTAATATATATTTATAGTTTTATATATTAAATTTTGTGCTATTAATGAAATAATTATCAAATAACAAAGTTCTTATATTTAAGATCATTTTAAGTATGAACTCAAAATACTATTTCGGGTCGGGTCTTAAGATGATTAAATAAAAAATAACTATGAATACCGGTCTTGAAACGTTCAATAGGCGACATCATGTATTTGTTGGATATACCATTGGTTGATTTCGCAGTTGATAACAGTGATGAGAAACAATGTGAATTTGATTCATGCGGTGCTCGCAGATCGATACTTCTTTTTCCGTTCATAGTCACAAATCGTTGGAATGATCTCTCTCCAGATGGGTCATGCGCATGCGTGAGTACGTTTGTCACGTGATCGATTTCAGGCTTGTGCTAAAACGCTACATTAAGTGCATTATGTACATTAAATATATAATATTGATATCATACATTTATGCGATATACGCTGTTGATATATACATTTATGCAAGAGAATATATTAATTATATAAAAATTAAAGAATAAATTCTATATGTTAATGTAAACTATCATCAATATTTCTTGTCTTGCTTTTTTTCTGTTAAGCTGGTTTAAATAATTTGATTTTATGATATGTAAATATTTAATATTATTTTATTTGTTAATTATAATAATATAATTATAAGATTATGAGATTGATATACAATTATATTATGTTATATTTTAAAAAAATTTTTGTTATCAATTAGGAAGAAGTTTATTTTAAATATTGTCTTTGATGAAAATATTAACTTCTTCATCATCTATTCTTTATTATCTTCAAATCTATTTATTTTATATTTTCAAAGAGTATAAACATAAAATATATATTTGTTTTATTGTTTTAATTGTTTTGACAATTTTGTTGTTTTAATTCAATAACTTTTTTCCTGCGTCGACATATCGTTAAAAATTAAAGAATTTCCAATTTATTTATTCTGTTCAGTTTTTGCATAGATAATCAGAAAGGAAAGAAGACAATCTATAACATTTTTATACATTTTATATCTTTGTATTAATATTGTGTTGTATAATATCTTGAAATTGTATCCTGAAGTAATGTCCCGAAATATTTCTCTCTTACAAAACTCATTACACAATCTGTGTACTTATATAATTAATACAAATCATGTAATTGTAGATGTCTATTTTATATAATTAACAAATAAAATGATATTAAATATTTACATGTTATAAAATCAGATTATTTATATTAGCCTAACAAAAGGGACCCGATGAATTCATTTGATCTAGCTAATCGCGATACGTTACTGAAGCCGACTACTAGCGGCGTCTGCTAGTGTCGTTCTACGCATGCGCGAGATCTGACTCCCGATTCATAACTTCCGACAACCTCCATTTTCTTTGTCGCTTTCGTCGCACGAGCATTTCTACTATACAAGCTACTTTTGTAACTGTGCATTCATCGTAAGTATACCTTCTTACACATAAACTGCGTTGTTTTCCTCAGTAATTTTGTATAATTTGAGATTACGCGTGACGAGCACGCTTCAATTGAATCGAGTATTCCCTATATTGCGTCCCCGCGAATACATTTTTCTCACACGATTTCCTTGTGTAGCGTCGGTACAGTGATGCATCGTTCGCCGCTTTTCCTGATTTCTCGCCAAGTCTTAAATAAAAAAAGGGCAAAAATAAAATAAAGCGAGCCCTCGTACGTCGTAATACAGTGTTGCGATCGCATAGAAAAACAAGGAGAAAAAGAGAGGACGTTTAAATTATTTTTATTCTGTATTTGCAAGTGTGTTAGTAAAAAAGCTAACGCTATATAGACTCTTTTGTTAAAAGAGTCGGAGAAGAAGATCGCCCTGAGTTCCCTTGCCGATTTGAATGCGGTTATTATGATATGTGGTTCTACATATTTAACACAACTTCATAGATCACGGCTTAGAGAATCTTGATAATCCTGTAGTAAATTTGTTCGCATTATTGAATTAAGGTGTATTAGAGGTTGCTACATATGAAATACTCGAATGTAATGGCATATGATCTTTTATTAATAAAATATTGCATATTCTGCTAAATAAGGCATTGTATACAATGGAGAAAATATTAGGAACAGAAATAAATATTAAATGTTAAGGTCTATGCGCAATAGGCAACAGAAACAGAAAATAACAGGCGATAGATTTCAATCTATTGCCTATTGTAAATTGTGTATCAATTGATATATCAGCCTATTAATTGATATACAGTTTTTAATAGATTAAGATCTGTTGCATATATTTCTCTATTCTTGTTGCCTGTTATGTATAGATCTTAACATTTAATATTAATGTTCTTAATATTTTTTCCATTGTAGGATCTAATGACAATTTTATTATTTAATATTTATACAATTTAAAATATTTAATGTAATTTTAATTACATTATAATAATCCTATGTGTTTAAATTTCTAATATACATTAATCTAATGTAATATAATATAAGTGACTGAATTAGATTTTTTAATTTTTAGATTTTTTTGAATAGGAAAATTTCAAAATTTCTGTGAATTGTTAAGTCTAAATTTTATAGATTGTTTTATTAAGCTTTGAAACTTTTGAATTTTATATAAATTGAAATATGTTCTGAAATAGGAAATTTAAATATGGATGCTCCAGGAGGTAGAGGTGGATTTCGAGGCCGTGGAGGTCCTGGTGGATTAATGAGAGGACGTGGTGGATTTGGAGAGAGAGGAAGGTAAAGGATTTTATCAATAAGAAAGCTATAAGAAAAGAAAAAACCTTAATATTCTTATGGATATTTTAGAATTTTATAAAAAGATGATATTCTTTTAGTTTATTTATAAAAAGAGGAGCAAATGCAATAAGAGAAAAAAATTTAAGTTATGTGCATATATAAATACTTGTGCATATGAAAATTATTGTATAAGAACAAAATAATGGATTTTTTATTGTTTAATAATTCAATATAACAGAGGTGGTCCTCTACGAGGTGGTAACATGATGCGTGGTGGACGAGGAAGTGGACCTGGTGGTGGCATGAGAGGAGGTCCACCTATGAGAGGTAGAGGTGGTCCTCCAGGTAGAGGTGGACGAGGAGGACATGGTGGACATTTTCCTCCAGGGTAAGCATTTTATTTAGATATTATATTTTATATTGTAGTAAAATTAATCAGTATATTTTGTTGTATTTATACTAAATTATTTTATTATTCAACTGCGTTAAAAATTTTTTTGTCTTGTTTGATTAGTCTAATAATGAATTTTACAGATCAGATATATTTAGTTATTTTACAATTATTAATAATAATATATTCTTTATATTTTATATTTTATTAACAGATTTATACATAATTAGATAAATTCACTAATTAAAAGATATTACTCTTATGAACTTTTTATATTCTTAGCAGTAATTAAAGTATATATCAAATAAAGTATTTAATATCTACAGTTTTATTATCATTCACACAGACCTGAACCAGGAATGTCCAGTGGACCTGGAGGTGGACCGCCTCCTTTAGGAATGGGTGGTCCTCCACGAGGTGGCAGTGGAAGAGGAAGTGGAAGCAACAGCTTCCGCAGCAGAGGCAGAGGTGATTACAACAGAGGAGATAGTCGTGGAGGTAGCAACAATTTCCGAGGTCGTGGCATGGATAGAGGCAGGGGAGGATCCAGGTAAAAAATTTAGAAATTCAATCTCAATATAATTTATTCAAATCTTAATAAGTTTATTTGTATAAGAATTATTATTTATTATTTATTATTACTTATATATCTTTTCTATAATCTGATGTAACTGATGTCTTTCATAAGAAGTTTTCTAAAACTTGAAAATTTCTATTGTATGAACATATGGATTTTTAAATCAACAAAATTCTAGTAGTTTAAGTTCAATAAATATATAGAAATTATTAAATAAAGTTTTATTAACATGGTTAAGTATATAAAGATTAAAGATTTTGTGATATTGGAATTTATAAAATTTACATGCAATTCACTATTTCAGAGGGGGTTCTGGTAGAGGTGGACCAAGCCGTGGAGGTGGCTTTTCCGATCGTGGTGGCAGAGGAGCTGGTAGTGGACGTGGTGGTCCAACGAAACGAGGAGGTGGACCACCTAGCTCTAGTGGACCGTCTAAAAGGCCGCGCTTTGATCAGCCGTCTTCTCAACCATCCAATGGCTATGCCACTCAACCCCCTAAGTAAGTATCCCAGACTTTTTATCATTGAGAAAACTTTATCGTTTAGAAAACTTTTTTTCTTCGAAAAATAAAGAAAATATATATTAAAAATTAAATTTAATATTTAATTATGTTTATTAAATATTGAATATTTTATAAAATTAATCCGTCGAGAACAGGAAACTTCCTAATTCAAAGCAATGAAAGATTTTGTTTTCTAAGGTTTTTAAAACTGAACTTCGACTCCGGCTTTATAACTCCTGCTCATGAAAGAACCCATTAATGTTAGAGAGTAACGCACTAGGGAAATAATGCATAGATCATACATTGACAAATGAATCTTCCCTTTTTTCAAAAATATATAATTGTATGCACAAAAGCAATAACGCGTCTCTTTTAGTCTTACATGAAGCTAATATTTCATTTGTTACCATGACAAATTTTTTGAATATGTTGATTGTTACATAATAATAAAATTTTGCAAAAATTCTCTATATTGTAATTAATGCACGTGTTCAAAAATTTTGTCATACGACAAATAAAATATTAACCTAACGTATGACGCATTCTGTGCGCAGAAGTCATTCTAAGATTCAAAATAACAGAAGTTTAATAAGTGTAATAAATGTAATTGAAAATTCGATTTTAGCAAATTCTCTCTTTAAGGATCATTGAATTTAAATATAATGAAAATCTCAAAATTTGAAAAAATCAGTGAGTAATCTACAATAAGGAAAAAATGAACTAGAAAAATAGATTGTGTTATAGGTCAATCAGTTTTGAAATTGATACATTTATATCTGTTTACTGAAATCAGTTACTACAATCAATTACTATTTACATAGCACTTATGAGCTTCAAATAAAGTAAAACTTGATGTATTTAGAAATGTAAAAAAATTCTTAAAACCAAGTTTTATATTCATCTAAATTTTTACAGACTACTTTTAATTAAATTATGTTTGCTTATTATATGAAGACATTTTTGGAGGAAATAATGTGTTGGTAACATTCACACACACACACACACACACACGACATATATAAATATGTGTATAAATTACATAATGCACATTGTCACAGTTCAATTTAAGATAATAAATAATGAATAAATAAGTCCAGAATAAATAAAAATTGAATAAGGAAATTTAAAATAATTTTAATGATAAATTATTGTAAAAATAATGAAATGTTTAAAGCAATAATAATAAATAATTTAAATTTTAAATAATTATATTTTAAACTTTGAAATATTATAACAATAATATCAGTTTGCACATATATATAAATACTATATGTTACAAAAATATATAATTAAAGAATAAAATATCATTTTAAGTTATTTTTTAGTTTTTAATTTAATTTTTTTAGATTTAGAATGAATTTAGATGGAGAATATCTATAGTGAAAATTACAAATAGAATATTTATTAATCTAAATAAATAATAATTAATTGAATGTCTTTACAAATAAATATTTGTAATAGAACATATACTTATAAATATTTACTGGAAGTGTATTTATTACTTTACATGTAGCATTTTAATGCATTAATATAAATATATAATAGAAATTACTGTAATGTAAAGAAAATATTAGAATACAAATATTGATACACATTTCACTTTTGATGAATGTTGGTACAGCCAAGGCGGTTACGGTTCAAATAATGCTTATGGGGGTCAGCAACAACCACCGCAACAGTCGGTAGGATACGGTGGTTATGGTTCGCAGCAAAATTATACGCAGTCCTACCAGGGTTATGAGAGCTACCAGCAACCTCAGGACTATGCACAAACGGTAAGTAAATTTGATGACAAACTCGAAACAATTCTTAAAATCATATATAAATTTTAATTATTATACATATAAAGCTATATAAATGTTAATTGCCTTTAATTATTTGAGCTTTGTTACTTTTTCTTTAAAATACATTCTAGATTTCTGAACATTTTAAATAATTCTAAATTTCTAGTTACCATCAAAACCGATAAGAATATCTATTTATATTGATTTGAAAAATAGTTAGTGATCTTCGATCAAAAGAATTCGCAATTATTTCATCTTTCTTTATTCTAGGGTTATCCACCATCCGCGTCAGATAGCAGATACGGGGGAGCATCATCGGTTCCAGCTGCGGGAGGATTTGGTGCTAACGATCCATACAGTTATGGCAAAGCTCCGCCATCAGGTGAGTGGGAGATACCTCTAAAAAAAATCCGATCTATAACACGTGATACTAAAAAAAAATTCGGTTTATAACATGGTGAAAGACACCCATTGTTACTTTCATATTATAATTCGTGCCTATCATCTGTCGCTAATCGATGGCCAATTCTTTATGGCTTCTGTATTTTTAAATTTTATTATTTTTTCAAGATTTTTAAATCCAGAAACTTTTAATTCCTGCAAAATAATCTTTAAATAAAAATTTAGGTTGCAAAAGGTTAAGTTAACAAAGTATAATGTTAACAAAGTGTAATGTTAACAGTACTTATCATAACGATTTCTAATAGTAAGTACCTATGGCGTGCGATAACTGACTAGTCGAGTACTCAAGGACCGAATTGAATAAGTCGGCAGAACACCATGTACATTTAGTTTATTAATATTACATAATGCATGTCCAGCCAATTACCAGCAGGAGGCAGTGCCAGCCGCGGGACCGGGGGGCGGGGGCGGTTATGCCCCTGTTAACCCATATGATGACCGATCTAATGCCAACATAATCAACCGAGGTGGTTACTCGACGCAACCTTACGGTTAGTTATTTCGCCCGCTGTCACCATACCGCTCACATTGCAGTTCATTAACTACGACTAGCGAAGCAATTTTTAAAAATTCACTTACCACCGACGTGGAACATTGAATTATTTGCACAAAATAGTTTCTCACAAAGAAACTCTACGTAAATTGCATCACGTAGTCATGATAAATATGAATTCGAGTTTTATAAAGCGTTAATTAAATTTTTCTTGGATACGTGCAGAAACGTAAGTAAGAAAGTAAGCACAGACTCGTTATATTCTTTATGCACGATGTTTTTAATAAAAGATATATCGAATTCGTAATGCTAATTAAATATAATACTCTTTTATAACAAATAATTTAATGTTTCACTTCAATGTGGTAAATGAATTCTTAAAGATCGTTTTTCCTGACGCTCTTGTTTTCCGGGTGACATCCGAGTTAACACGTTTTCCCATGACTGAAGTTGTTAAGCATGATCCGATTCAGACGAGAAATGATCTAATTCAAATGACGGATTAGAAACGAAGTTTTCTTTCGGACCTCTTGAAATTTTCCCGCTCCTTCTCGGATGTTTATATTGCTAGATCTCTTTGTGGAGCTTCAGATGTTTTTTATTTTTTTATTTTCTTCTTTTTTTTTTCTTTTACCTCCGGATTGTATTTTACACGCGATCGACAATAGAGTTGCGTAGAGTTTCACAAATTCTATTTTGAGCGTGGCAAGAAATAACATAAAAGTTGGATATGGATCCTTTTATCAAGACACCAGCACTGCAGCACTGCCTCCTGCATATTTCACTTCAGGACTACAAGGTGTTCGTGAAATGCGAAATTTTTCCATCAAAATAAAATATATATATGTATACATATAGCTTATCATGTTATTTCATTTATGTTCTTTACTCTGTGTTATTGTTGTTTATTTTTAGCATATTTTTATATATCTTTTTTTTTATTTTGTAATATAATACTATTTTTTATTTTATTTTTATATAATTTGTTTAGATAAATTTTTGTAAATTTGAAAAAATTTTTTAAACATTTTTTTAAGCAAAACATAAGCAATATTAATTAATTTTAATATATTTTGATTCATTAATAAATTGTCATTTTTTTGTGGAGATTTTGTACTTCGACCGCTTCGTCATTCCATTGATTATTGTCAGGACGAAGCTTTTTTTTAGTTATTTTCGTGCGACTCGTTTCAAATATTTCTCGTCTGAGTCGTTTGCTTCTCAACATACAATGCTTTTCGTCATGAAACATTATTTGATAAATTACGTTTGTCTTGTAATTGCAGATTATCCGAATCAGGATGGCGTTTATGGAAAACAGGACTATGGTAAGTACCATTCGCAGTATAGAAAAATTCATTAATCACAGGGAAAAGATTTAGTTAAGTTGATCGGAATAGAAATGTACTTCTATAAAATTTTGACAGAATTTATCAATAATATAATATGACATATAAAAATATCTGAAAGGCACAGAAAAAGATATAAAAAATTAAATATGTTAATGTTATATATATAAGATTTATATACATACTTTCATACTTTGACAAGAAAAATGCGGGATGTTTTATAAAATTCAGGATTTTTTGGATAAATAGGAATTCGTGAAATTTCGTAACATGCAAAACACAATAGCGAGAGCATTACTAGGATAATTTTGAAAAAGAAGAATATTATGGAAAGACGTTTTTGCTGTGCTTGGGAAAAGTAAAATTAATAAAAACATTATTTTATAACATTATTTTTATAAAACATTATTTTTTATAGATTTTGAAGTGAACAATACATATATCTGATAATGTTAGTTAAAATTTATGTCAAATGATGGGAACACAAAAAATTAAATTTAAATTGGGAAAATGGTAATCATAGTCATGCGTTTGTTGTAACATCATTTTATTTAGCACCGTCGAATTCTTCAAAATTAGAAATGAAAATATTTATTCCATTTATTCTAAACACAGCAAAGACAGATCTATTCGTAATACCTTTCTTCATGAAATATAAGAGTTGCGATTCCCGAACTACGAAGTCAAAAATTTAATTAAACCACGTCATTGGAATAACAAGTGAAAAATTACAATCAATACCGCACACAGTATAACAGTTTATAACGCAAAATAGAAAAAAGCGTGTATAATGCTCTGTAGAGCATTATAATTAAATAATTATGCAGTTACGCTGCGTTAGGTACGAATGCAATGAAAGTTTTATAATATTACAGTAGCTATATTCGGAATAAAATCCGAAACATTAGCAACATATTTACAAGAACTATAAGAAGTATTTATCTTCTACGCAAAAGTTTGTTTATTGCAAGTTTATTTTGCAAGATATTACGAGAATACATAGCAGAGAAACATTTTTATAAATCTATCCGCAATACTAGAGCATATTTACAATTTTTGCAAAGTTGTTATATGTTTTGAGACGTTGTCGTAGCAAAATCGAAAGATTGTCCACAGAGATAAAAGTATCTGTATGTCACAAAATTAGTGAAGAATCCATTTTTCTTTCAGTTCAGTTTAAAGGAAATTAAACAAAGATAAACAAAACTGTGGCGGATATCATTATACATATACATACAATGCATTTACGCGCGCGTGCGCATAATCACACACACACACACACACACACAATACACAATACACACACATATAATAATATCGATAAAGCAAGCAGGTGGATAGATACCGTCATAGAGATCTTTATATCTAGGGCGTTCACAGTTTTATATAAGTAGAAAAGCAGGATCATTAATTCTATTTTTCATATAATGAAACGGAGGAGCATGTTGTTCGCAGGTGGCAGTGCTGGTTACCAAAACGCCCAGTCTCAACGACGTTATTAAAGATATCCGTCACTCTAATTAATCAATCTACTCTCTATAATTTTGTATCTAAGTAGACAACAATTCTCCCAGGCGAAAAAGTGCAGAAACAAACTATCATATGAAAAAGATAAAGCTTTTCGAAACTGCGAAATAGCATTGTTTAATGGAAGGACAATGATAAGGAATCGAGGAATCTGAAA